GGGGGGGGGGGGGGGGGGGAGTGTTCCCCAAAATAATTTAAATCTAGAGGCTCCTAAGTTCTGGCAAAGATTTGTTTAACCAAACCACTCACAAAAACGGTTTCAAAACATGTAACTGGGAATCATGGATATTCAATATATAATAACCTTTTATTTGCATTTCAGACAGGAAAGAATATTAGGTTTCCCACTCTAATCTCTTTTGGGGATGTTCGCTCGCCCCAATTTTACCTTCTTTTCCATTACCCTCAGCACGTAAGTGATTTGTGAGGAGAATAGGAGGGTTTGGGGGTCCTCTCCCAGAAAACGTTTATATTTTTGATGCTCATGCAATGACAGCATTCCGGGAATTTTCTGGAGCATCCACAAGGGTAACGAGTAAATGAGAAGACTGTTTCAAAATAGGTAGAATGTACTCCCAATATATTTATTTTTAGTTTAAAAGTGTGATGTTTGTCGATGAGAAATCAAAACAAAAAGCTGTTTTCACCAAGAATGGCTCAGCTACTCAATTTCATGGTAATTATAATAAGAGGGCAGATGCATATGGCTTGTGGACAGCGAAAGGTGTGGCCTCAACACAATACAAATATCAACTGTTGATATGTGATGCAGCTTTCTATAAAGGCCTCCTTATCTCTGGGTATACCGTCAATTGCTATAAAAGATGTGACCATTGGTGCAGTGACAAAAGCTCTCCCTATTTCCGTACCTCTGCAACGCCGAAAACTTACAGTGGAGTTGCTTTCAATGAGAACGGTCATCTACCAAAGTCAAACCGCCTAGTCAGTGCAGGAATTCGTTAAACTGAACTGAATATTGATGGAAGGTTCAGAACAAAATTTATACCCCAAGTTTTACTAGTTTCATATAATCATGCGGGATATATAATCGACCTACAAGGAACTTAATAGACTTTTTACCAGTTAATACATATATAACCATGTGAACGATTGTGTAACAAACCTACTTAAGTAAGCCCAAGTTTCAATACCATATACAGGATGTATAAAAAAACAGAACAGATTTGAAATTGCTCTCAATTTCGCAAAACAGCTATTAGTATCCAGTTTTATATATATATATATATATATATATGTCAGCAATATGCAAATTAGGTAAAGGCATTAATTATTACCTCCGCCAGGAGGTTATGTAATCATCTGGGTTTGTATGTGTGTGTGTGTGTGTGTGTGTGTGTATGTGTGTGTGTCTGTCTGTCTGTGAGCACGATAACTCAAGAAATACCAAACATATCCGTACAAAATTTTGTGAGTACATTTTCCATCGGCCAAGGAAGAACTGATTAAAATTTGGTTGAATTTGGTTAAAAATTGAATGAGAAATAACAAAAGTTTGTCTTGCTTTTCCCGGTCAATTAAATAAAACTTATACTGAATGCGTAATTAGGACGTGCATAATATATGCACCAGCCATTCAAATGCTAATAACAATAGATTACTTCAATATTTTGCGCGTAGGCGGAGGTATGCAGTCTCTGAGTGCCCTCTAGTTAAGCATGTGAAAGGCTGATTTTTTAGGGGAAAATTGTTAGTTAAAGGGCTTATAATAAAGCAAATTGTCTGAAATTAAAGTAATTAAAAACCCAACAAGGTTTCCATCCATTAACTCAAAATACGATTAAAGCTTTTAAATTTCGTGCTCAAGTCATTTTTAGTTTGTTGGAAAAAACACCCCCC